TCTCTCTCTCTCTCTCTGTCTCTCTCTCTCTCTCTCTCTCTCCCTCCCTCTAGTGTACCAGTCCTTGAGAGTTTAAATTAAATAAAGTGTTTGGAAGGGAGCAGGGGCTGGAAAACCCAAGAATTGCAAGGTGGATATTCCTGATCTGCCTAATTAATGCTAGGCCTTCTGAAGTATATGTTCCTGACATAAAGTGAAGAAAGGTTACAGTTTTGAACTATTAAGAGAAGTCAAACCCCTTTCTCTGTAACATCATTTAATGGATACTGTCTTTTCTACAATGAAATTGCTTTGGAAGCAGAATAGAAAAATGGAAGAAGCATATTTTAGAAAAAATGTGTATGTAAGCAATAGTTCAACTGGTGTGAAATTGTACAATAAAATGTTTTATATACTGTGTACAGACTTGGAAGACACTAAATGCATTCTGTCTGAATGTTTACATTTTGTAGGAATGTGCTACAGTAAACATTTGCCATTGCAATAAATCTTGAGTGAGTCGATATTCATTTTAAAACTAAGGATGTTGCCAGTTCTTAATACAGTAGCTTTTTCATGGCTATATTTTCATAATTGGGCAAGGATTAAATATTGGACTATAAAGAATGAAGACTTCAGTCTCATGAATACTCAAACGTTTGCTTGGAGCTAGCTCCATGCTTGTACGAGATTAGAGATGCATGAAATAGAGCCAGTCTTATTAGATTGGTTTGGTTTTTCTAGTGTTGGGTGGAAGTCAGTGCAGAGTGGCAACTTAGAGAATAGCTCATTCAGAAAGGCATAAGGTTTTGTAGGTGATAGCTTTCTTCATCAGCAGGGATCCTGGTTTTCCCTAGTAAAAAATTGCAGATTCTCTGATAACCCCCCCGCCAAATCCTTGATTAAAATGAAAGGCCCTCCCACAGTCCCCCCTGTCCCTGCTGGTGCCTCTTGCCCCCACCCACAGCTCCGGCTTCCCCAGCCCTGCCGGATGGGGCTCCCAGCGGCCAGGGCTATGGGGTCAGGGACCTGGGTCTGCAGTCCCCTACCCCTGGCAGGAAGCGGCAGCTGCTACAGCCGAGCAGAGCCTGACTCCCTACCCCTGCTGCAGGCTTGGGCGGGGTGGGGTGATCCCTGCCGCAGCGTGCACTCCTGGGGGGCATAGGAACATGTCCCCCAGATCTGTGCGCAGGGTGGGGGCTGTGCACTACCCACTGAGGGCTCCTACCCTGCTGCCCTCTGCTGGATCCTCCTCAGCCCAATGTGTACAACATGGAGCTGCAAAGAACAGCGGGCCCATGCAGGACGCTGCCTGCTAATGCAAGCTCCATGCTGCACTGCCAAGGCATCCCCTACTTGTGACTGCAGTGGGGGTGGCAGTGTGGGGCTGTCCACAGGGGCAGTGTGGAGCTCACAGCACCAGGCAGCTTCCCACGCAAGCCTGCTGTTCTTTGCAGTGCTGGGTCACACACGCTGGGCTGCGGAGGCCCCAGGGAAGGGCAGCAGGGTGGAAAGCCAGAGCCTGAAGTAGGCAGCGTGCAACCTGTACCCTGCACACAGATCTGGGGGGTGCGGATCCCCTCTGCCCCCTAGGAATGCGTGCAGTGGTGGGGAGCAGCTGCCCCCCACCCCAGCCTGCGGTGAGCAGCCTGCCCGGCCCCCACCCTACACACAGATTTGGGGGTGTGGGTCTCCCCCACCCTCTTGGGAGTATGCACAG